CACAGATACATCTCATCTTTTTTATTTTTATTTTTTTAAGATTTATTTATTTTTTACTAGGGGGGCAGGGGTGCCGAGGGGGAGGGAGAGAGAGAATCTCAAGCAGACTCCCTGCTGAGTGTGGAGCCCGAACGTGGGACTCAATCTCACGACCCTGAGATCATGACCTGAACCAAAATCAAGAGTCAGATGCTCAACCGACTGAGCCACCCAGGCGCCCCTCATTCTTAATACCTCTCAAGTTTATGACTACATAGAAGTATCTTAGATTATTTCATAATTTTGCTACAGATGGGCATTCCAGTCTCTGGCTAGGACAACTTGTCAGTGAGGGCTTCCGTCTACAAGCCAACACCTTGTCCCTATGGCTACAGGTAACTTCAACCCTGGTTTCTTGAATCATCACTCTGCCCTGAAGTCTAGACCTAATTTTCATATTTGAATGTATGACTTCTTTGGCCAGGAGAAGCCTAAGATTATTTTTATTCTGTTATTTTGCCCACTTAGCACTAGATAAAATTAAGACAAAGACATGGTCTGTGAGCAGCAGGCTGAAAACGAAGTTAAGAGATAGTAGATAAATAAGCTACAATTCAGTCAGCTTCTACCATCACAGAAATCAAATTTGCTCTCATTTCTTTGCTTTTGTTTGTCTTTATCTTTTCCTCCCAAGTCATCACAGACTGAGAAACTGATGGAGTTCCTGTTTAGGTCAGCCTTGCTTCTCCCATCTGCGCCAGCCCATCATAAATCAGTTAATTGATCCAGGGCTGCATCCAGGCCAAACAGGACTCCACCAGCAGCTGGGGGTCCAGTTGCAGGAGTCAGGGAGAGGGGCTTCTGACTGGCTGGCCTGTTGTCAAGACAGCTGCCGATGTGGGTGGGGCAGAGGCCCAGTCTCCTGGATGGCAGGTGTCCAGTGGCGCCTGGGAAAGAGACAGCTCCAAGGCATGGGGGTGCTCTAGGAGTGCCTCCAAGTGATCCCAGCACCCTGCTGCTCTTGGGAACAGAAGTCCTCAGGGTTCAGGGGCTGGGTGAGGCTGGGCTGTAGGTCTTCAGTAACTGCAGTAGGAAAGATCTCATAGCTTATTCCTTCTTCAAAAAACTCATAGTTTCCCTCTGGAGTACATTGCCTTGATGTTTCATGGCCATATTTTAGCTCTTCTGGACTCCTTGTTATCAGATTAATTTATGATACTGCTCTTCCTTTGCCTCCTTTGCTTAGGATTTTTGAGACACATAATATATTTCCCATTAGGAATAGCTCTGAGAAGGTAGGATTCAATATCTAGAAGGAGATACAGGCTTTGCTAACTGTTGTCACCTCCCAAGACAGAGGCTATGAGGGCAGGAGAGAATGAGGGAGGGTGGGACAGGCACTCCCTTCTCACCAAATGCCCATTTGCACCTTCTGAATGTTACTCCGTGTGTTCACCTCATTCAAAAATACTGAAAAATGGGGGGCGCCTGGGTGGCTCAGTCGGTTGAGCTTCCGACTCTTGATTTCGGCGCAGGTTATGATCTCAGGGTCATGGGATCAAGCCCCATGTAGGGCTCTGCACTCAGCGGGGAGTCTGCTTGAGATTCTCTCTCTCTCCCTGCCCCTCCCCTCTCATGCTCTCTCTCTAAAATAAATAAATAAATATTTTAAAAATACCGAAAAATTATCTTCAGTCATCTCTGTCTTCGTTCTCTTGAACATCAGTTTGTCAAGAGAGAAGAACGGGCTCTACCACGAGGAAATAAAGGGCTGGATCTTCCATAAAGATTGTGATATCTTCGAGTAGAATGAAAATACCAAACTTTTTCTGAAAGGAGAAAGAAGAGGAGGAGAAGGAGGATCTAAGCTCACCTGCCTGTGCCTTTATTCTTTGGTCCTGCTGTTCTTTCATCTTGTCTTGGTGCCTTTCGTTGGGTCTTGTCTCTCCTTAGATTTTCCCTATTTTTGCATAGAGGTTGTGTCTCATCACATTTGACTTAGATGCCAGAGTTCACTGGACTGTCCCTCTGCATCATGTTAGGGGTTGAGAGTTGGGTTTTGAGGCCTAAATCTCTTCACTTATTATCCTCCTATATTGACCAAGAAGTATTGCTTTATTATTCTGGGCATGATGATGCCCAGATGATCAACCTCCCACGTATTTCTGGAACTCCAGATTGAGGAAAGCAGCTCAGGTTAAGGATCTAAGCAGGACTTGCCCTACACTACCCTGAGTGCAAGAAGACCAATCCCACAGATCTTTCCTTCCCTGTGACAGGTGGAGAAGGGGACAGACAGCCGATCTACTCCTAGAGGCACATCCCTTCCTCATCCCTAGTGAAGTGGATCCCAGTGAAGTGTCAGGTTTGGGCCCATCAGATGAGCCATCCTCCTCTCCAAGGTGCACGCAGAGTGGACAGAGGTACATGCCTGAGTGAAATCTGCTCTTCCCGCATGCAAAAATAAAAAAGTAAATACAGCACTCATCGAAGACACGAATAAAGGCAACTCTCCTGAACAGAGGGAAATCCAACCAATGTGATTTAGAAGTGCTCCTAGTTTTAATTCCAAGAACCGTTTCTGAAACAGAATGATCTGGACTCTGGTTGACCGGATGTAGGCATGAGCAGATGGAAGGGAAGGACGGGTTTATTTGTTGTCCTAGTGCTGGTTTCCTGTACTTTCTCCGTGATCCTGGTGGAGGTACGTAGAGAGAGAGCTTTGGGTTGGATGGTTTATGTTGAGCTCCTCTGGCTGTGGGCACTGACAGAGATTGAGAAAACTTAAGAGGTAGGTGGGATTAACTATGGAGACGTGAGAGGGCGAGACAGTTCAAGACCGAACATGGGGAGCCTCCAACATTCTGTGGATTAATGACCAATGGACAAAGTCTCAAGCCATGATCAGAGAGGGGGAGGCAGTAGGGTTTTGCAGGCACAGATGTGGATGGTGGGCGGTGGGTGGGTGGTGGACCTCTGACCCAGTGAGCATCTCCATCCCAGACGGTCACCAGCACGAATCAGTCTGCATCTTGGGGGGCAGTAATGTGGGGCCATAGAGGGTGAGGGAAGTCCTGCCGGTTGGCCAGGCCAGTTGGTTTTCTTGGGGAAACATTTTAAGAAAGGTGGAGGATCAAGAAGTTCAGTCAAAAGGCCAGGTAAGAAGGGAACCAAAGGTCTTGTGGATTTTTCCTTGGGAAAATAGACTTAGGAGATTGGAAGGGACAGAATCAAGAAAGCAAAATGGATATTCTATGACTAATGGGGCAAAGTACTGGATTACACAGAGTACAGCATAACTCGTAAGGAGGAAATGATATTCGAACAAAAGCAGCAAAGAGCTAGAGAACTCTATTCACGAGGAAGATAGTTCCAGAAGAAGCCAACTGCTGTATTACAGGGAAGAGTCATCCTGAGTGACCACACAGCAGACAAAGGGAGAGCTGGTAACGCACCCCATGCTCCTTCACCGTAGTTGGGACAGCCGACAGGGCCTGATCCAGGCACAAAAGCATGATTGTTTCCATCTCTCTTGGGTCCAGCCAGCTAGCTTTTAATTAAGTGAAAATAATAGGCATCCCAGTTCACCTGGGGAGAACGGAGAAGGGGACTGAAAGTAATCCAAGTTTCCGTCAAATACTTCTCGGTTCATGGTGCGGTGCTCTGATCACCCGGTATTTATTGTTACCCGTTTTTTCTCCTTCTTCACTGTAGCTATTAGAGTAGAAATTTAATTACGGTGATTGAATAATTAAACGAATCACAAATAACTTTTGCATACCAAGCTTTTTCCTCCCCTTCAACTGAAAAGATGTTGGCACTGGTATGAGGATTCTCTGTCATTGTTAGTAGCCCTGAGCCCTGACTTCCAAAGTGTAGGGTCTTAATGTCCTTGATAAAAGTTCACTTAAGATATAAAATGTAGGGGGTGCCTGGCTGGCTCAGTCGGTGGAGTATATGACTCTTGATACTGGAGTTGTGGGTTCGAGCCCCATGTTGGGTGTAGAGATTACTTAAAATTAATAAAAGTCTTTATTGAAAAAAAAGGATATGGCTCAGTCAGTAAGCCATGCAACTCTTGATCTCAGAGTCATGAGATCATGCCCCATGTTGGCTGTGAAGCCTACTTTAAAAAAAATATATATGACATTTAAGTGTTAAGGAGAGATTTGAAACAATCTTTTTACTTTTATTTTTTTTATTTATTTATTTTTTAAAGATTTTATTTATTTATTTGACAGAGAGAGGTAGAGGCACAGCGAGAGAGGGAACACAAGCAGGGGGAGTAGGAAAGAGAGAAGCAGGTTTCCCACCGAGCAGGGAGCCCGATGCGGGGCTCGATCCCAGGACCCTGGGATCATGACCGGAGCCGAAGGCAGTCGCCTAACAAACTGAGCCACCCAGGTGCCCCCAATCTTTTTACTTTTAAAGATTTAATCTATTTATTTGAGAGAAAGAGTGCACGTGCCAAGCGCAAGCAGGAGGAGGGGCAGCGGGAGAGGGAGAGAGAATCTCAAGCAGACTCCATGCTGAGCACGGAGCCCTACGCTGGGCTCACAACCCTGAGATCATCACCTGAGCCAAAATCAAGAGTCGGACACTTAACTGACTGGACCACCCAGGAACTCCTAAAACAATCTTACATAAGACCCTTATCTGATGGGACTGGAGAAGATTATGCTAAGTGAAATAAGTCAAGCAGAGAAAGTCAATTATCATATGGTTTCACTTATTTGTGGAACATAAGGAATAGCATGGAGGACATTAGG